TAGTTTCATGTCAGTAACGATAGTAATTATGTTCTGTGTTAATATATTGTATAGCATAATAAATACCCATTATGAGAAAATGACTATATTCCTACTATTATTAATGTTATTTACTTTCTTAAAATCTACTCTAATTTTTATAACTTTAATAATAAACATTCCAGATGCATAGCATAATCTCTTTTTCTTATTTTAACAAATTTCTTAACAAGTAAAATATCTTTCAACTTGTATGTACTATATAATATCATTTGTATGTTGCTTTTAAGTCTGCTAAAAAAAATTCTTCAAACATCCAAACTGTTCATCATGCCAGTGGTATTCCTTCTCCATACACCTTGAGTAGTTTTTTTCGTCTCCTTAATTTCTTTCATTTTCTTTTTTGTAACATGACGGAATGCTGATGCTCCTAAAACACTTTCATCACCATGGCTATGATATTTGATTGACGTTTAAGAAGTTGAAACAGTCATCTGCTGCGTGTCACCATGGTGTCACTCAGTATTCGGGTCACATGATACCAAAAAACATGATTTGACAATTTATTGCATCAATTTGGTCAAGAATGCTACCATATGGAAACTGTACTGCACAGTACTGTATTTTGTATGTACATGTAAATGTAAATGTAGGTGTATAATAAACATTGGTTATTATAAGCCTACTTATAAAGGCTCCTGTTTTTCAGATGCAAATGTCTCATTCCCTCTTCTAGTTTTATATCCTCAGATAGAAATGAACAGATATAATATTATTATATATATATATATATAGAATCTGAGCTTTCCGGTCTTACTGCTACCATCCCATTGTTGTAAATGGAACACAATAGAATAAGTAGACCTATTTTATAAATGGAAATATGTATAAAGCTTTGATTGAGATCTTTGTACTGTTAATGATTTTATCCCATAAACATAAAATAATTGCATTATCTCTTTAAATACAAAAATATAAATATAATAACATCAATGTAGGCATTTCCATAAAAACAATATTCTCTGTATTAAAATAACAAATTTTGTTGGAAACTTTGAAGTGACGGAGAATAGATTTACAAAAAGAAGCAAAATAGTATTAATGGGTTTAAACTTTTGACTTTAGTAGCCCCATGAGAATGGCTCAGGAGGAACGTAGGCTCTCGGCTTCTTACTGATTCATTGTATATTTCTGAATGTTTTTATTGTAGTAGAAGCTTTCACCCCCATATAATGCACCTTCAACTGATAAATCATGAATCTTAATATCCAGGTACTGTGATATAGTTAGGTATAGGCCTATATTTTGTATACTTATTTATTAAATTTTTTTGTAGATTTTTAATCTTTATATATTCTTCTTATATTGTTGTCATCATTTTTGACAGTTGAGGTTATAAACTGACCTACATTCCAAATCATTCTGTACTGACAGCTTTGACCTAAGAGACATGTGCACTGTGACCTTTGAGTTTGATTCATGAACCTTCGTCTCCATGGTAACTTTGCCCAGGGCGGAAAGTGTTGTGCAGGAAAAGTGATTTTTGTATGGTGCTCTATCTTCAAATCATCATACCAAAAATGATTTAATTGAAGCTTTAGGCAAAGAATACCATCTTGAATTGTTTATTGACAGTAACAACAGGTAATCTCGGAATTGTGAAGGAAGTTAATTTTAACTAAACTAGAAGAATTTGATTTGTAGTAGGCCTAAACTTTGAAACATAATATGGTAATTTTGTAGGCTTGTTGTTTTAAGCATTGTTTCCTCTAAAGGTCTACATATCGTCATCTTCGCATTCCGATAAAATAATTTAAAAACTACATCCTACATAGTATGATGTAAAAATGTCATAGGTCAATGTTTCCTTGTTGTGGATATCCTATAGATTAGGACAGTTGCAAATACCAGCAACTGCAGTATAATCTCATCTCAGCAACGGACGTTTCAACTCTCCTATTCAATCAGGAGTCTTCTGAATTTTCATACAAAGTCTTGATCTTATAAATTCCTCCTGAATTAAAAAAAAAGTTTAAAACCCTTTTAAAAAGCTAGTAGTAGCTCTTTCAGTATGTATTGTGTGAAAATATTTGTCATTATGCGCCAATTTTATCAATGATGACGGAGTAAAATGGCTTTCTGATGAAAAAACAATCATAATCTAATAACAGTAGGCATAGACAATAATTACTAACAACTCGAAGATCCCTCAAAACAAAATGTTTTCAGAAAGCATGCGTGAGACTTGGATTTTTAACAAAATTTCTGGAGTGGCATTCACTAGCCCACGTTTCGTCTTCCTAATTTTGAGTTCATGAGGTTGAAACATTTGCATGTACTACCAACATTTACACAGTTCACCCTGTAATTGAAAGTACGCCAAGCTATTTGATGCGATTTCAAGTCATTTAATAGATGAATAAATAAATATTAATCATTCCAGGAATGTAAAAACATTTTGTAGTGGATGGTTTTTGTGCCTTCTGTTACACATGTTTGAGTTCATGTTTTTAAAAACTGTAATGTTCATATTACACTCTATTATTTAAAAATCACCTCCATTTCCCTGATAGGGCTCCTACTTTTTCATCATGGCCCCCTCCCAACATCAGCACCCACCACATTAGCCACCCATGTTAATGCTCATATGCTATTTTGTCATAATGATAGTTAAGTTTAATGTCCCATAAGTAAACCCAGTGATGAAAATTAAATTTTAAAAAGGACAAAGCAACAACGGCTTAGTATTAAAAACAAATTATTAAAACAATGAGTTTTACTTGACATTTGCCTGATTTTTTTTTTATTTTTTTGTTGTGAATTTTGAACAAAACAAAGCACAATCAGCTGATGGCCATATCTACAGTACCAGGAAATGGACATTTCAAGTTGGTGCCAAGGATTTCAGGATAAACACAGTAACCTTTCAAGGAAGTTTGGAATAAATAAATCAAAATTTGGTCAGAATTATAATTATAACAGAAACTATAAAATGGCATTGATAAATATTTTAAACTCATTCATCAATGAATTTTATTTCTCTTTCTCTCCAACAAAATATTTAATTACTGGATCATTATTTGAAATTAAGCTTAATTGCAAATTGTCTGGAATTCTTTCATGTATTTTGAGGTCCCACCCACAAATCTAAGCTACCAACAGATTGCCTTATATTGCCGAGAATAACAAGGCACTAATGATGTTGACTGAATTTTGAGTTCTGCCATTAATGTCAGCGTCATATCTTAATAACAATCGAACAAGCAAAAATATGTTGACGTTGGTCCACATGTATGAAATGCCATGCTCTCCTTAGCATACAATCTTTAATTTGTATTTTAGATAAACACTCAGATGTAATAGTGGATATTTTCTATATATTTTATTTATTTATTTATTGGCTATGTAAAACATGACTTGTTTCCAGCCAGCAATAAGAACAAACAGTTAAAACGCTCAAATAACATTGTTTTTTGGTGCTAATAAAACTGATAGAAAATTTATTGTTTATATATTTGTTTTCATAATTGCTCCATCTTAGTTAAGCTACCAACAGAATTCCTTAAAACTCATTGGATAATTTGTGTAAAATTTTAACTTAAAATTAAAAAGTTGGTCTTGATTCGATGGTTGTGAGGGGATGACACTAAACGCTGTATAATATTTTATTTTTCTTTTTATTCTACTTTAGTAGCAAATTTCTACATTATGTAATGTATTAATGTATCATTTGTGTGTCAGCTCCTAAATCTGCATTCTACTTTAAAAATGAAAAAAAAAAATGACCTTGTATGCTTGGTAAGAAGTGAACACAATAGGTAGATAATCATGAATGGATATGAATATGATTGAATAAAATAGACTTAGATTTGAAAAAATGTATTAACTGCACAAATAACAAAGAACAATCATAAACACAAAATGAGTAGCCTACAATCAATCTGGCAAAGATACCAGCAAAAAGGAGAGAGATACAAATTACATTTGATTGACATGTTCTACAACCATTTGTTCCATCAGGAATGTTGATGTATTTTTATTGGTAAAATGTTTTATTTTAAATGGAAACTTAATAAGTCAGTAATAGTTTGGTGGAAAAAATACTGATCAGCACCTTGTATATATGTTTGTTTTGGAATTGGAATGATTTAATATAAACATATCATTTACAGCCAAGTGGATGATAGGCAACATATTTAATTCTGATAATTATATGATGCCATTCCATTTATTTATCTAATCAAATTAATGATTAACTTTTTTTCAAGCTCCGTACATCTATAATACTATTATATGAATTCTTCAGTTACTATTATGAGAAATAATAAATGAATATAAGGTACTCTAGACTAATAATATACAGTATAACAATATTCAGCAATAGACAAATCAGGAGAATAGTGGTAGCCGAGAGCAGGATATTGTTGTGAATTTTAATATATTTGATGAGCAGATATAGGACTGGGTCAATGACCAGATGTAGGTAGGAATGGAAGGTGCATGCAGATGAAAGGAATACAATGGAGTGAATGATTGATGTTTTACTTTATGTGGAAGAATAGCGGTAATTAGGAACCTAGGGAGATGTGTTGAGTAATGGACGAATGATTAGGCGTTAAAGGTGTAGATTAGAATTTGCTTGCAATCCTTTGCTTTTACTCATTCTCAGGTGATAATTATACCAATGACTATTAACAGATTAATATTTATTCATAAAAAGAGAAGAAAAATTATATGTTAGGTCTAATTGATGTAATAGACAAATATAATATTAAGGAAGGAAAGTTTTTTAGCCAAGAAATCAAATGAAGTGATGAAATTGAAATCACTTGCATGGTCTTGTGATATGACACCAAATATGGAGACGTTCAGTTCCCACCCAAATCGTAATTCATTGAATGTATTCGTGTTGGTCAATGTTCCATGATTGTTATGTTTTTATCAAAATTTGTATCAAGAATGTGGAATTAAAGGGACAAATGAAATAATACTAAGTTTTTATATTTTTATCTTTATGTTAGGATGCGCCATCTTCGGTATCTCTTGGTTTGCGAATGGAAGAGATGATCTTTAACCTTGCTGATACTCATCTGTTTTTCAATGATTTAGAGGTAAGTGAATTGTATCAAAACATAACAACAATCAAATCAATATACATTGGAATATGAAAAATATTTTTGCGGCTGATTCAGCAGAGACTTCTTCACATGAGGTGTAAACCTGAGCTGAATTCACTCATGCATGGCAGTCTTCACAATTACAAGTTCCCTAAATCCTAGATGGTCACTCTCTTGAAATATAGTTCTTAAATAAATATCTATATATTGTGAAAGAATTTTTTTGTTTTAGTAGAAATTTGTGTTTGATTTACAGTATATTTAAAATTTGATTTACACCCAGCAATAAATACTCAACATTTTGATTAATATGAAAAATTAAGGTGAAAGTTACCTATTGAGTATTATTAGCTAAATGTCTTATGAAGTGAGGGGGTGTTTTAAATAATAGCCAGTAATTTGCCAGGGTTTATGAAATACATTCCAACAAAGATAAATGAATGATGATGTGGGCGGTGAAATGAGCATTACAGAAGAGGAGTGAGTGATAAATTAAGAGGGAAAGCGTTGGTGAAAAAACTATATTTGAATTTCTGTTGATAATCATGCCTGATGTTGTTCATTGAAGCTATGCCGACTTTGAATGACTATCAATCATATTCCGCCTTCCAGGGTGAGCTTGGGTGTTGTGTGCATTCTATTCTCAAATATCTTCATTGCCTAATATAGACTTATTAACAAGGCAATGTTTTTAACCAATTTTCATAAATCAGAAAAGTTTTTTATTATGTAAATTTAATGAAAGTGTTAAGTCATGATGTCACCAACAACTAGCTGTAAAAATTTAATGATTTTTCATTAGAGTGAACAAAAATTGTGTTTTAATAGACTTTTTGTTTAGCTTAGATACTGCCATATTATTAAATTTACATTTTTGAGTTTTAATCTAGCAAGCTTCCCTTAATTTCCTGGAAATAATGGTTGTTGAATTTAAGCAGACCTTAAAGTTCATAGTGTCTTTTCCTTTGTTTCTTTATCTTGCATCGTTGTTGCATGACTTAAGATACTTTTATTGTAAGAGCAGACCCTATAAATATTTATTATTATTGATAAATTTCCAAAAGATTATCTTTTTGCCAGAAAATCATTTCAACTACATTCTTGTGGTAGGGAGAATCAATGAATTCACTTGTAATCGAAATGTTGGTGGTTCATATTCTGTTTTTGCCTATGTATCTTATGTAACATTATGAAATGAATAAAAAGAAACTTTGGTTCAAGCCAATGTCAAACCTTCTTTGGTCAATAAAGTGATAATAGGTTTATGACACAACTTCAAAAAAGACCTTGATCGATGACCCAGAATATGTAATTGAATCGGAAATTCAATAACACTATTTATAAAATAAGTTTAAAATTAGATTTGCACACTTATGTATTTCAATTACCGTTACAGTGCCAAGCAACTTACAATCACAAAAAATGATTATAAAAATACAATATCAGCCATATTCATGTACTGTACTTTGATTCCCAATGCTGTTGATTTAGTTAACACTAGAGGGCAGCAGATTAGTATGTGATTGTTCAGACAATTGAAATTGTGGATGAACAACTTAATGAGTAAGGTTAAGTTAATAAAAGATTGTTGGACGACTTTGCAGACATGTGGAGATCAAGTAAAATAGCATTTCATGGTTTCAATCAACATTTATTAGGCCTTCTCCATCTGATGAAGGCTCATTCTTTTATGTAATCCTAAAGGAGAGTAAGCCAAAGTTTTCAGGCCACTAAGTAATTGTTTTATGAGACAGTTTTATTCATGTTTCCAATACATGTTATTGTTAGGTCTATAAATCTTCATTAAAGTCTTCTTTTGTCAAATTCATAATATTCTGTGCATGATATCTGTAGGATTCTTACTGTGTTTGGCAGTTTCCAAGATACCACATAGCATGCTTATAATAAAACATAATAAACACCTTTATCTTCTAAATTAGTTTTGTTTTTATATTCATTAACGATGGTTTATCCAATGGATTTTCCCAATTTACCCATAATGCATGAATTCATTGTGACCAATTGAATTTTCTCCTTGAGTTGCTTGTTAGATTGAAAAGCAAGGCAACAGGGGTGAAACAATATGCCTTGGGCCATAGCTAATACAACCAAGGAGGCTGGCCTAATGTCATTTTACATATTATCTTGTCTAGGACGAAATATTTGCCCCTAATTTTCAGCTGGTGTTCAGTGAAGTGTACGAGACATAGTTAAGAGGCTGTAGAATTGGCTGTTGTGCACTGAATAAGAGTGAATATGAGTAGTGTATGATAAGGCAACTAGGCATCATTAATTGATAGAAATGGTGCAAAAACAGTCTCTGCTTAGCTTGTTTAGTTTAACCTCTGCTCACCTTTCTGTAGAATTAGCGACCTGCGGGGGCTTGTAGAGAACGCGGTGAAGTTCTGAAGCCTGCAATGGCTCGCTTGTTTCGACAGGAATTTGACTTGTCAGCTGTAGATGAAAAAGAAACACCCGCAGGGCGAGTTGTGAACCACAACTTTGGCCAAGCCCACATGCCTATTAGCTGGAACATTTTTTCATTTCTGCGAGCAAATTACCACGTCATTCCATAAAGACTCACTTTATGAATTGAATGAAAGTGATAATTATCGACCAATTTTTTTTTCATCACTGGCTGTGTTTGCTGTCTAAATTTAGGGAATTCGTTGCCCGCTGGCACTGCTCTTTTTGCAGCAAGAGAAAAATCTGTCCGACACTTACAAGCTCTGCCAATTAAAAGGTTGCAGCGTTTGTCAATCATATTAATTCCATCTATATAATTTGGATAAATTAACCAAGATCAAACCTAAAATAATTAGAATGGGATTTCTTTAGTAATCGCTAATTAATCATCATTGTAATTAATTAAGAAAATATAAGTATTATATTTAATTTTAATATACAGTATACTGTATGCAAAATTGGTCACCATTTTTCTTTAACCCTATAATTATGACATACGGTAGCTCTTTTCTGTGAAATAAAAATTATTGGTGGAGGAAAGCATAATATACCTGTAATTGATACAGTGGTTGGTACTACTCTTCTAAGAATAATCTGTCTCTCCCCCCCCCCCCCCTCAGTGGAAAATTAATGGTTATTCATTTGTGGTTAGTGTATTTTCAACATGTAGAAGTACAGTTCTAAGAAGATATTAAGATATCTAAGTTTTGAGTTGACCTACATCTAGATCTCAATTTCATCGTTAAGGTGTCAATTCTGTCAGATTGGATACATTTCTTCTCAGTTTTCCATTTTATGGAGTTGTTGCTGAAGGCATGTTGGCGTGATTTTTACCTGAAGAATCCCATGCCGTGATTTTAACTGCTTGCTATCATGCGGGTATACGGCATTGCGCACTGTACAACCATCATCGCATTCGGCTATAACTTTATATTGGTCTAGTATTTTCATATGATATGACCAGCTAAGAATTCATTGTTAAAAGTTTGTAAATTTGATCCTCTAGTTTTTATCCACTGTCAGTGCAGTCTGGTCCCTGATTGGTTAATTTATGTGCCAATAAGCTATTACCATTCTCAGGTGTCATGTTCCTTTTGTTTGGAGTAATCAATGAACATAAAAAATCAAAATATTCGGTGGTTAGGTCATGAAAAAAGTCCCTTTATGAGGTAAATTGGGTAATTAAAGTTAATCATGCAAACCCACTTATTGGTTGCATTTGCAGGCAGAACTCATTGCAGTAAATACAGGATTTCAACAACTGGAACTGCAGAATCCACCATGCAACAAAATACCATCAATTTATATTTTTTGTTCTTTGTTGTTCCTAGCATTGAACTTAAATTTTGGAGTGAGGTTTAAACAAAGAAAATAGATTTCCAAGGTCAGGGCAAGTGTTAGTAATATAAAACTTTTTTGTTATTCGAACAATATTTGGAATGAGTCTCTCAAGGAGTTTGTCTCCTGTACTAATAAGGATTTTAATCAATTAGGGTATTATTAATTATAATGATCAATAAATAAGGTATTTAAGTCATTCCTGAAGACGAATTAATAAAGTTTAAAATATAGAATCATGATGGCTTGTCACTATCTTTGAGGTTGTTTCATAATTTCGTATGATTATAATCAGCCGGTGCAAGAAATTGTTATACAATAATTTAATTGCTAAGTATTGATCACAACACATCCTGGTATTTTTGTCAATCTCCACAATTTGGCGTAAAGAGATTAGATGCGATGTGGACAAGCATGTTCATCACAATCATTTTGGTATGGTGATAGTGGTAGCCATCCCTAAGACAGGTGTTGCCCCCCCTGCTAATCATCTTAACCTCTGTGTTTGTATTTTCATTCTATTCTTAGTATGGTGTACATATCAGTGATGTAAAAAGATACTCAATTTGTTTGAACAAATATGAATCATTTCAATAACCGCTGATTGATTGATGGGTTGATTGATTGATTGACTCACTGACACATTAATTTATTGACTAAAGTGATTGGTTATCGACAAAATCGTCATTATCTATATTATTGTTGTCATTATCCTCATCATTTCATTAATTTTATTAATATAATTTCTGTTGTAATTATATATATTTTGTCATTCTTCTGTCTTTCAGGAATGTGATCAGGTTCACATAGATGATGTAGCATCAGACGATAATGGTCAAGAATTATCGTAAGAAAACAATTTTTATGGTTATATAGATAAATTTCCTAATATATGGTACTTTTATTGATATATACTTTATTGGTACATTTCTATGCATGAGTTTACATAAATTGATGCATTTATGGTTCGAATATAGGTATTTCCTACCACAAATTTATAATTTTCTATATATTTATTATTTACATTCACATATCTTCTTGTTTTTGTAACTTTTCTTCCATGCAATTTATATATGGATATATTTTCTTGCAGATACATAATTTTATAATAAATAATGTTTCTCTTTTTATTCAAATAGGAATTATAACTTCCAAACAGATGGATTTCATGCAGCCGCTACAAGTGCAAATTTATGTTTAGCAACAGGAGTTCGTGGAGGTGTAGACTGGATGAGAAAACTAGCCTTCAGATATAGAAGAATAAAGGAAATGTATGCAAGCTACAAGAACAACACAGGAGGTGCATAAGAATTTAATATAATAGTGTCTCTTCTTACAAAGGATTTTCACTAAACACATCAACTAAACTAATTGGTGCTTTCTCTTTTTTTTTGGTACAGAATTGCCAAAAGTACATAGATAACACTGAGCACTTACATCAACCCTCTACTCTTCCAATTTTTGCACATTACGTACATAGAAACGAGTCACAGAAGAATGAGATGATTAGAGTGTCTCTACTTTTTGCAAGTTTTGATCCATGAAACATATACTGTCTATTAAAATTTTCTTGTTTTTTAAACAGGCTTACTTGGACCACAGAAAAGGGAAACATGGCTGCAACTTAGAGCTGAAATAGAAGGCATGACAGACTCCTGGCTTAGCCTAGCTTTAAAATCACTCTCAATTGTTGCATCAAGGTATGTACAAATCTGTTTGCACTTGGTAATTACTATACTTCTTTTTTATTGTTTTGACATTAACTTTTTTAATCAGTTAACACACCACCAACATGTGCATTGCATTCATAAAGCAGAACCATAAAGAAATTGATTAAGAATAATAATATAGTGTTTAATAAGCTATAGTAAACTTGAATATAGCATGTTGGCCATTCAAAGATGTTTCAATGTAACTCCAATTAATGACAACAAATTTCTGTAAATTCTTTGTATTTATTCACAGAACTGTGTTAAAACAGATACATACCTTTAATTTTGCAGGAAAAACTGTACAAATGTATTAGTGACAACAACTCAACTGGTGCCAGCCGTTGCGAAAGTTCTTCTGTATGGACTAGGGGGTGTGTTCCCTATTGAGAATATTTATAGTGCAACTAAGATTGGTAAAGAGAGCTGCTTTGAAAGGATTGTATCAAGATTTGGTCGTAAAGTAACATATGTGGCAATAGGGGATGGACGAGATGAAGAACAAGCAGCCAAGTCAGTAAGTACTCACACTTTTTCCAGACCTACATGCTGACTTACTGGACTCTATTGTGTCATTCCAATAATGATTGTATGATGACAACGTTAATATTCTAAAGAAAAACACAAATGATTGAGTATGTTTTGATACATTGTTATAAAACTTTCAGTATGTTTAGAATTGGTTTCTTAAAAGCATATTATTTTGTAATGTTTCACTTTGTGTTCAGTCATGCATAACTTGTAAAATCTGTGCTGCAGCTGCTTTTCCTCAGTTATGTTAATACACAATTTCTATTGTTGCTTTTGAATTAGGAACTAATATTTCAAATAAGTTACCTTTCTAAAGCTAATAAAATATAAGTTATGAATATCATTTGAATTTTGTATAATCAATATTTCCTTGTATTACACATATTTATCTTTACTAAGTATGTTCTCCCTTTAAATTATAACATTTTCTTTGATCTTCTTTTCCTCAGCTCGACTTTCCATTTTGGAGAATTTCAAGTCATTCGGATTTGGCTGCATTACATCATGCACTTGACCTAGGCTACCTCTGAACTTTGAACTCAACAAACAAAATATAAATGATTATAGTGCCAATGGTTATATAGAGAATGTGCCAACAACACTTGCGTGGATGAGGATGTACAAATATTTTAAACACGCACATGACTTCAATAACTAACTGCAGTAGTCAACAATGCTCTGCTATTTATCATTGTTGGAAATCCTTGATGCAAACAAATTTAAAATTTGCAGATAATGAGTATATTCCAAGAAAATTATTTCTACAGTTCCTGTCTCGAAATATGGCACAAGAATTAATATTTATTTGATTATAATTAAAAAAATGAACAAACTATTTCCTATGATTTACAGAGAAACATTTATTGATAACTTCTTTAAATTATTGGAAATGTCTCCGAGAGTAAAGTGACAGGGAAAGTGATAAGCAACAGTGTTGATGGTTTAAATCTATGAAATGATGTTGCAAAAAAAGTGCAATGATGCAAGGACAGATTTTGCAAGAGGAAAGAAACTGCTCTGAAACCTGTACACTGACCAAAGTGAACATTCTGAAACTATAGAGGACGCTAAACATACCAAAGGCATGGTGATTGAAGAAAGCATTTCTAAAACTATTATCGAATGAGTGAAGGGGAACGGAATATTTGCTGACAGGGAAAATGGAGACTAAAAAGAACATGCGTAACAATGAGTTTAACACTTGTGATGATGTTTGCTGCTTTTATATAGCAGAAGTCTAAAGTGGAACTGATGTTGCACTCGTCTTTAATGCACAATGTGTATTATTATTAAAAAATATAATGATGCAAAGGTATGGGCACATCTGCAGAGTTAGAAATTGTTGAAGTGAATCAACAGTCTTAAATGTCATACATTTTAAGTCCTACTATAGTGCTTATTACAGTATATTGTGAGCTGGTGTAAAGCTTTTCAGGATAGCCACAAAACAGTATTCCCACCAGGGTAGCCACAAAATTGGCAGTCCTTCCAGGGTAGCCTCAAATCAATATTTTTCATGAGGTAGCCACATAACAGTAGCCCTCATAACCCAAAAATATAAACCTTCACCAGATTACCCACAAAACAGTAGCCTTTCCAGAGTAGCTATAAGATAGTAGCCCTCTGAAAGACAACTGCCCCAATGTCAGGGTCACTGGAAATATCAAGTTAATTGCCCTAGAATGGTTAACTTTGATGTGAATAACTAGCCTATGCTCTTACATTCGTTAGTGTTTCCAGTAGCATGTAAATATTCCAAAAATATATCAGCATATTGCAATAGTATATACTCAAAAGAAATTGTCAACACAGAGTATCTTTAATTTATTTAGAATGAAATTTTAAAGTCTAAAATACTGGTCCATCTTAAATTCCAAATCAGTTTATCAAGTAAAGAGTGGAAACTTAAATATTTGTTACATCCTACAAACATTATATTTAATTACTTTACTTGAATGCAAAAATCTGGGTAAATATATTGGCCATTCTTCTTTTCTCTGTCAGTATGAAATTCAAAAACGAATTCTGAAAAAATGTTTCTTTTATACAAAAACTTATTGTGAGTTGAACAAAAATCTAATGAAGTGTAAATTATGCGCCATTTTGCAATATAAAATCGTCTGGACTTTCCATAAAAAGGTCTTGTAAAGTAATTTTGTGAGTAATAATAGATAAGCAGTAAATTAGCAGTTTAATTAGATGTTAAATGTGATGTAGCACCATTTGATGTAGCGCCATTTTTATGTAGCATGTTTGTTATTGGCAGACTGTGGTTCCAAAGGGGATCTAATCTTCTGCACTTCTGTAAAATTTGTGGCGTGACTTTTTGGCATAATTTATGAATATCATTGTGTGTTAAAACAAAGAAAAAATGAAAATAACCAAGCAGGGTAATGCATTGCACTCAAATTTATCTACGTGTTAATGTGATTTTATGCACATAATGTGTGCGCATGCACATACATGTTTCATGTGTACTCTCATATGTATATATTTAAATGTATGTGTATATACATACATATAACATTATATATATGTATGATATATACATGCATGGTAATATGGATTTTCACAGATATATTATTAACATTATTTATATGGATGCATATGTACATACATATTATGTAGGTACTTAGAAATAACTAGACATCAGGACCAAGTAGAGTAGTACATGTAGTGTCCATAAAATATACAAAAAAAACCCATTTATTACTAAAAAAAGGGCTTAGATATTCAATTACATGTTTTATGTCTCTGAAACAACTTTTTTGTGTGTGATTTCTACTCTTTTTAGACATAAACAAATTCATATAAGTCAGTAACCATTTAGCTTTGTTTTTTACTTTGCT